CAAAGGACACCTCTTATTCGCCAATTGGGGTGGCGACACCATTCATTTTTGTACTCTTTCACCAAGTCCAATGGCGCCTCCCTTACTGTCCAATCGTGATACATGCATGGGCTTATGTAACCCCCTAGGCTGCCACCTAGCCTGCCCCTAGTCTGCACCTATACATGTATTTTGTAAGACTCCTCCCATCAACTCCAATGGACTTACATGCAATAATGAAAGGAATCCCAAAGGCTGTCACGTAGCCTGAGCCTAGGCTGTAACAAAGGACACCTCTTATTCGCCAATTGGGGTGGCGACACCATTCATTTTTGTACTCTTTCGCCAAGTCCAATGGCGCCTCCCTTACTGTCCAATCGTGATACATGCATGGGCTGCCACCTAGCCTGCAAGAGTGACACCTTTCATTTTTTGTACATGCATGCATGCATATGTGTAACCCCCTAAGCATGCAAATGTGACACTTCGCAGGCATGCAAGCACAAGCAACCACTATATCAAACTTATTTACCTATAAATACATACCATATCATACATCTCTCACACCCACACAAGTCTCACTCTCTGCTACGAAATATTTCATAAGTCTATCATACTCTCTATCTCTTCCTAAGTCTTTCATACTCTCAAGCATTTTAAACAATGGCTCTTCTAACAATGGGCGATACTCACAGAGACACAAGGGAAAACATTACCGCATTTGTAAGTTTCTTTTTTGGTTATACATTTTTCATACTTCAAATAACGCGTTGTTCATCTTAATTAATCTTACACATGTTACATTATGAACTCAGGACACAAAAAGATTTAGAATCCGTTCGCACAACTACCTGGCTCCCGACCCATTTATCGTCCCATATCTGGAATACGCAGGTTTTGGACATGTCATAAAGATCTCCAACTGCACCATTGACTCGAAGTTCATTCTTGCAATGTTGGAAAGGTGGAGACCGGAGACCCATACATTTCACCTACCAATAGGTGAATGTACCATCACGATAGAGGATGTGTACATGCTACTAGGTCTCCCTGTCGATGGTAAGGCCGTGAACGGGTCGGTTCAACAACCCAACTCTCAGTGTGAAGAACTGTTGGGCAGGGATATGGTAGAAGGTGGTGGTGCAAGTGGGCAGGGAATACTACTCACTGAGCTGAAAAGTCATTATGCAAGTTTGGAATTAAATGAAAATTCCTCAGAGAATGACAGGGTAGTAAAAGCCAGAACTTATCTTATGATACTTTTTGGTACATTTTTATTTGCCGAAAGTACGGGAAATAGTGTAAATTTTATGTACTTACATTTACTAAGAAATTTTGAAAAAATAAGAAAATATAGTTGGGGTTCTGCAGTTTTAGCCCACCTATACAGTTCCTTGTGCAAAAACGCAGTCAAGGAAAAATGTACATTTTATGGGTGCACTTTTTTACTACAAGCCTGGGGTTGGTGGAGGATGGAGTCCTTAAACCCCGTCAACAACAACACTTTCGGTTTCTCGTACGCAACAAAGTAAGTCATCAAGTTATAACATTTATAACTATTCTGCTCTTCCCAAAATATATGCTAAGAATAAAATGTTTCTCATTTCCTTTAGGTACTGCGTGAGGGGTATGGATTACGGCAAGAATCCAAGATTCAATGTCGCACTCTACCGCAACCTGTTGGATCACTTAGGCCCGGATGACGTACGTCGTAGCTTTTAACTTTTGTTCAACTAAATTATTTATACATTACTTTTGCATTAACCTGATTTACATTTTATCGCAGTTCGTCTGGAGACCATATTTGGGTTTGGGCCATGTTCCAAACCCGGAGGATGCAGCAACTTGGACCGCGAAGACTGCAATCATTCGGTTCAACATTGTGGAGATGCACCACAGCGACCGTGTGAAGATGCAGTTCGGAATGCATCAAGAGATACCAAGTGATCCAACTTGTTTGTCCCCATGGCATCTTAAAAGGGTCGACGCCCAGTGGGGTCTTACCAACTGGAAAGACTTCGCTCCGGAATGGTGTAATATATGGCAGAGGCGTCACCGCTACGTCTTGCAATTCCCGGTTTTCCTTACTCAAGGTAATATGCGACACACGGATCAATATTTGTCTTGGTACAGGTCGGTTAGTAACCCTGAAATGCACGTGTCTCATCCAAGGTACTTGGTTGACCTACGCACACAATGGGCACAATCCTCGATTCCCCATCAACAAACCCAAAACCCATCAACCTCCCACCAACCCCCAAGAAGAAACAGACCCACAAACACCCAACCACAGTCCCCACCACAACGCTACTACAATCAAATGCCGCACAACCAACCACAATCACCACCAAACTACCAATACCCCGATATGCCTCAAACCCAACCACAATACCAATCCCAATACCAGCACACCCGCATACCCCACACACAATTTCAGTCTTCCACATATCCCAATATGGCCCCCTCAACATCCAGCCTTAGCCCTGATATGGGAATGTCGGAAGATTACGAACAAACCGACCCAACCTACCATCACCCACAATATCACCAAACCACCCAACATCCTCAATACCAAACACCCCAAGATTCATTTCCTTTCTACCCACCGTACTCAGACGATCAATGCTACATACCCACTATGGAACCGCACCCACCGCCAACACGACCAAACTTTGAGGGTATGGGTAACCGACTGTACCAGAGCGGATCTTCTAGATATGGAGATCTGACTGATTTTATGGATTCGGACCGCATTGACTTCGCTGGGCCATCGACCTTGCCGCAGCAGGAAACGCGATGACACCCAGCACGAGAAAGGCGAGGACGGGGATGCGGAATCGGGGGTCATTACCGGGTTTCGGGGGATCACTGATGTATCCGTTTTTTTTCCAGTATTTTTGTATCCATTTTTTTTAATCTGTTTTTTTTTACTGTTATTTTAATGTAATACAGTTGGATGTAATTATTATTTTTTTTAATAAAAAGTCTATTTTGTTGATCTCTGTCCAACACGCAACGCACCGGGAAAAAAATCATTTTTTGACCTAAAAATACACCTAGGCGCCATCTCACTTGGCTTAGGGCATGCCCTAAGCACATAGGCGCCAAGTGAGATGGCGCCTCCCCTTAAAATATAGGTGCATGCGCCATTTCAGATGGCTCCTTCTTTGGGGACTCATCTGAAACATGATTATTTGCGTATTTTTTTTCTGAAACGCAGTTATTTACGAAATATTATTTTAATACTTGGTTATTAATAAAAAAAATTCAGAAGTGGAAGAGATCAAAGACAAATAAAAAATATTAGAATTCCAATGTGATGGGAGGACATCAATGCATTTTTGAATAGTAATGATCACATAGAAAGTGTCACATTTACATGTCCTACTTATTTGCAGACAAAGAGTAGTCTGACACTGATCTTTTAAATAGTAGTATTAAAATATACACCCCAAATTCATTATATCAATCTCATATTTTCTAATAAATTATTTACGTGATTATTGTAAATGAATATAATATAATATTAATGTTTGTATTGATGACAATATACACGTTACTTTTTAAATGGATATAATATTAATGCTTGTATCGATAACAATATTCTCCTTTCTCTCTTCTATTTTATCCTATTGTTATTATTATTTTTATCATATTACTTTTGAATAAAATGACAATAAATATAATTTATTTAAAGGAATGTCAATTCAAAAATTTGATCAATAATTTTCAAATTAAAAGAAATTAGTTAACGGTGTCAAAGTAAACAAAATAGCAATAAATAAAATTTACTTAAAGGAATGTCAATTTGAAAATTTTGATCAATAATTTTCAAACTAAAAGAAACTAGTTAACGGTGTCAAAGTAAACAATATAAATATAGACAAAAGTTATTATTAGGAAAGACAAAAATATAAACAATATTTTGATAATTATGAAGATTAGAATTTATGTATGTAACTTTTTTATTTAACTTTTATTTAAAGCAATAATACCGTAATACATTAATATTACGTAAATATAGCGATGATTATAGTAAAATTCGCACAAATGCATAAATTATTATATTTTTTATATAATTAAAAAAGATAAAAATAAAAATAATATATGAATTCAAACATGACAAAATGTTTTATTTTTTAATTAGATAAAATATTCATTTTGGTCCATTAACTATACCTACCTCTGAGTTCAGGTTGGTCATTAATTTTTTTCAGTGTTACTTTGATCCATTAACTTTCAAAATATTTCATTCTAATCTTTTTTGTCTAATTAACGACGAATTTTTTTTGAAATTCATCGTTAATTAGACAAAAATGATTAAAATAATACGTTTTGAAAAATGGTTAAATCTCGTGGAAACAAGATTTCACAACTTATTGATCCTTTTTAAGTATTTTAAGATTTTTTTTTCCAACCTTCATGAGACACATTTGATTCATCCATATATATCTTACCAATCCTATTGAGAAACCTATATCACTTATGCGTTTATATATATATATCTACTTACCAATCCTATTGAGAAACCTATATCACTTATGCGTTTGCAACATGTTCGTGACATTAATGTCAAAACATATTTTTTTTAAAGTTAAATAAGTTTTTGATTCTTATAAATATACTTTAGGTTAATTTATGATGTACAAATAATAGGTGCTATTTCACACAAGTTTATTTATACTATTGAAACGGTAAACTTTATCATTAAATCAAGTGAGAAGATATGATAGAATTTATTGATCAAATAAAGAAAAAACTTGTGCATGACTTATAACACTAGGATTCGAGCAAAAAGTCAAATATTCAAAAGTACTAATTTTTCCAAGAGAATGCACATAATACTAAACCCTTTAATTATCTGTTATACTTAACGTGCTTCACATACTAATACAACTACTATGCCAAAACAGGTTTTCTTACCAAATTATCAAGTTTGATTGATAATTTCAAAATGCAATGTTGAATGTCCTCTTCAACTCCTCTTCAACATACCCTGGGCTAGATTAATGAAGTTATCCTCATCGTTGCTTTTTTGTCCTAGACCTAAGTCTTCCAGCAACACTGTCTGGGCTTGGTTTGCTGGAAGAAGCAAGTACCTTCCTGGTATCCGAACCGCCCTCGACTTTTTCAAGCTGAACTTGCTCATCATGCGTATCCAAACCACCCTCAACTTTTTCAAGCTGAACTTGCTCATCAGGGGCATCCGAACCACCCTCGACTTTTTCAAGCTGAACTTGCTCATCAGGAAAAATCAACAATCTCTTTGCAGCAACCTCGTCGCCATCAGTTTCAGTTGGAGACTGCATTAGTCCAAGCTTATTATCATTGTTGTCTGCATCAGAGAAGGGAAGTGACCTTTTAGCCAAAAGAGCATAGGAAACATCATTTTTCTTAACATCCGTATCTGAAACTGGGTTGGAAGTATCATCATTTTTCTCAACATCTTCTGCGCGACGGGTTTGGATGAGGTAGTGTGCAACCGATTTGTAACCCAACTGCACTACCTAAAATAAGGAGAAACTTGAGCTTAGGTACAACACAATTTTTCGGAGAAAACTAAGTAACACATTTTGGTAAAGAACTAGGAGCAACTAACCTTTCTATATAGATATCCAGTAGGTGCCCATCCTTTAGCATTACGGCATAAGCTACAGTTGCAAATTCCACGACAAGCCGGGCACTTCCAAGTTGGATTGGCCAGGGCTTCTAGTACATGCTCCCCATATCTACCAAAAGCAGGATAAGAAAACGAAGCACCATATCAAGTTACATGTACTCCAAGGTATTATTCAATTATAATCCAAGTGTGGTGGAAACACATCTAAAACCATATTCTGGATTTGCGATGCATGCATAAATTACGCCAAAGTTTAAAGATATCCAAGAGAGAACCCAAGGAATCAAAAAGAAAGAGAAACAATCGACTTAGAAACTAGAGCATCAGTATTATCCCGAGTTATGCATAAAATTATCCAACCAATCAGCATGTGAAGACTGCGATATCTCTTACCCTTGATATTAGGGAAGGAATATGTAGAGAAAACATACCTCATGTACAAGCAATCTCCACAAAACTGCCCCTGGACCAAGTTGCATTCGCAACAGCGTGTCCGAAGACCAAGAGTTTTTTGCCTACAAAACATTATTTTCATTTGGTGAGCAAGCTTATAGGAAACCAAGTTTACTAGTTATCAATAAAAACATTCCGAGTTTAACAGAACTTTTGTTGCATATCTTGAAACAAGCACACATTATATTTGCAGAGATATGAAGCATTCAATATTTCATTTCAGGAAATCGAGTTCACTCAGGTTGCATTAACAGTTATTTAGCTAAAATAAACTCTTGGCAGTAAAATGGTCAACCACGTGTGTTTTCAATTGTTGCCAATTGTCAATTGCTACCCTGGCCGCTTAGTGACAACACTATATATTCTATTGATAAACAATAGAGGTTCGTAGAAATTATGCTACAGCCAAATCAGCTGTGAAGACTGAAAGACTCAAGAACCAGCAAAACACTGCTAGCAACCTCAACAAAAGTCCATCAAATAAATACAATACAACAGGCTGCCATACAATAAGAACAGATAGTGACATTTTATGCCAGTAAAATTACAAGATTCTTTCATTTATTTATGAATTGGTTCAAGTAGTACATAAATACAAGCACACTAACAAAACACAACAACAGCAGTAGCAGTTTTTTATATTAATTTCTTGCAGAGTATGGCATGTTACAGCAAAGCATGTTCTGGAAAGTGTTACTCAGACACTAAATTAATTAAATGGTGAAAACCCATATCATGGCAGACAAATATGCACCTCAAACCATTCAAATAATTCCATTTCATCATGCACAATGATAATGTACCTCAAATCCTCTGAAAAAGAGTGCCCGTGTGTCGGTGTCCAAAACCGACATTTGTGATTGCATTTAATTTATTCATTTTTTCAAATTATTCCTAGTATCAACATGTCACAGAAAGTGTCCTGTTTAAGGTGTCTGAGCTTCATAGCTCATAAACAACTTCATTTCATGATGTACAATGATAACTTATTTAGGGATAGAGAATGAGACTACCTGCACTGATGACATGTTTTGCCTTGAACAGAATCATAGATCCTTTTCCCATCTTTTCCAACACCATCCACAAAAAGCTCCCAAGTTCTCTCAGTATTCCCCAAAAGCTTCTCATGTTCTTCAGTATAAACCTCAGGCTTAGAACCTTCTCTTATCACAACCCTAGTCTTTTTCTCACCCACTTCTTGCTTCAGTGGCGCTTCTGAGTAACTAATAGGAGCAACATTCTGCAACCTAGAAACAAAACAAAACAAAAAAGAACAAGAAATAATAAAAAAATGAAGCTTTTGTTTTGCATGTTACATGAAAGATCAAATTTTAATTGCGAAAAACAGAAGAACCTGGAAGAACGGCGAGAAGGGGCAGATAGGTTACGAGAAATAGGCGATTTAGGGTTAGATGGAGATCTTCGCGAAGGTGGGGTTGATTTGAGCTTGAGGGAAAGTGAGATATCGAAAATCCCCAATTTTCCCATTCTCTCGCGGTTTTCGCGGATTCTTTCTTCTCTAGAGAGTTCGTATTGGGAGATTTTGGAATGATGATCGGAAATCGGCATGAGAGGTTGAAGGTTTTGGATCTCTGATCGAGATCGCTTGCTGAGAGGAGGCATTGGTGATGGAAGTTTTGAAAAGTGACGTGAGGCTGCAACGGTCGAGTTGAGGGTTTTGATTTGGAAGTGAAATGGATGAGACTAGGGAGGGAAGAGAAAGTGAACTAAACTCATGGTCTTCTTTGCCTATTTATTTCATCTAATATCAATATGTTTATACTTAAATATTGTATCAAAAATTCAAAGATAAAATAAATATTTTAAATTAGAGGAGACATGTCTTATATGAGATCTAAGACAACTTTCACCATTAATGATTTATGATTAAAAAAATTATATAAAATTTCAATCATAAAAAATTATTGAATTTATGATAGAACATTTTTACATTATTTATAAAGTTTTAACATTTAATTTATGTTGAAAATCCATCAAATATCTATGATAAATTTTTACCAATTTTGATGAACAAGATTGATATCACCACACAATGATAATGAATTATGAGAAAAGAAAAGAAAGAAGACATTTATTTTCAGCAGAGTTTTTCTCTGTCCACAAACTGTGGAAAATTTTATTAATCACTCGCAGCTGCAAATTCTGTGATTACAATGAATTGTCTTAATTATAAAATTAGGGGTTACTCCCTCTATTTATAGATTTATGTTAGTTTTTCCCTAAGTCAAAACCCAAAACTATAAAAGCCCAAAATACTTATTTTGATACTAAATCAAATCTATCTATTTTAGATCTAAGTCAAATCTATCTAAATCTAAAACAAATCAAATTTGTGTGTAGCATTTTCGATACACCTACTTTGACACTCTATTGTCTCTGTCGAGCAAATTGCTTCGACACAAAGAATTACTTTCAACACACCACCTAATTCATTGTGTCTAAACTATCTACATTTATCAAAGCTCTTAGTCTTCGAAATACTTCGTCTTCCACATCCTTCGTCATGATGTCTGCAATCTGATTCTCAATTCTGCAGTGTTTCAAATTCATCTTCCTGTCTGCTACCTGCTCTCGAAGATAGTGGAACCTCATTTCGATGTGCTTGTTTCGACCATGTACTATCGAGTTTTCGATCTTCATGGTAATTGCTTTATGATCTTTCTCTGTTATCTCTTCAACCAAGTTCATCATCCAAGTTGCTTGACATGCACAAAGAGAATCAGCGACATATTCTGCTTCGCATGATGATAATGTCACTACTGGTTCCTTTCTTGAACTCCAAGCAACTGGTGCACCACCTAACATAAACATATATCCTGTTGTTGATGTTCGATCTTCAGCATCACTACACAAACTCAAATCAGTGTATCCCATTAACTTGCATTATTTTTCTTTATCAGTTATAGGAAACAAAATGCCATAGTCGAGAGTTCCTTTAAGATACCTTAGTATCCTCTTCACCGCTGCTAGAGTGATACCTTTGGCTTTTACATGAATCTACTTATCATACCTACAGTATATGCTAAGTCAGGCCTTGTATGATAGAGGTATCTCAATGACCCAATAAATCTTCTGTATTGGGTTGGATCGATATCATCTGCATCTGCATCTTTCGACGGTTGCCGTCTTGGTTCTGCAGGTGTCGAAGTTGAGTTACATTCTTCCATCTCAAATCTCTTGAGAATTTCTCCTGCATATCTTCTTTGATACATCATCAAACCTCTACTGCTCTTGTAGAATTCGATGCCAAGGAAATATGAAATCTCACCCAGATTAGACATTTCGAATTCCTTGCTGAGATCACCTTTGAAGTCTTCGATCTCACTTTTGCAGCTACCTATTATCAACAAATCATCGACATAGAGACATAGTATAAGCAATTCATTATTGCTTCTTCTTACATATACTCCATATTCAGTTGTGCACTTCACAAATTCCTTCTCCCTTAGGAAACTATCAATTTTCTTATTCCAAGCTCTTGGAGCTTGTTTCAATCCATGCAGGGCTTTATGCAACTTGTACACCTTTCTCTCTTTGTCGTGTTTCATAAATCCAACTGGTTGTTTAACATAAACTTCTTCATCTAAGGGTCCTTTAGAATGCACACTTCACGTCCATCTGACATATGTGTCATTTGTTTATTTCTACTAGACCAACAACCAGCCTGATTGTTTGGATCCTAGCAACAGGTGAAAAAACTTCATCAAAATCTATTCCTTCTTTCTGTAAAAATCATTTCGCCACAAGACTTGCTTTGTGTAGAGTTACTTCCCTTTTGGAATTCATTTTCACTTTGTATACCCACTTGACATCAATTGCCTTCTTGCCTTGAGGCAATTCGAGAAGTGACCAAGTATTGTTGTCTTTGATAGACTTTACTTCTTCGTTCATTGCTTTCACTCACTTTGAATCCTTCAATGCTTCAGTTGCATTGATAGGTTCGACATCTGCATAGAAAGAATAATGTACCAACTCACCTTCATTATCTATCACATCTGAAGAAGTGAAAAACACAAGAAGGGGGGTTGAATTGTAAAACTTAAAATCAAATGCAGACAACACTGTATTTTTATCCTGGTTCGTTTGATCTCAAACTACTCCAGTCCACCCGTGAAGGTGATTTCGCCTCTCTCCAACGAGGTCTTAATCCACTATATTCAACTGAATACACAACTGCTTTAACAACTGTTAAAGCCTTCTTGAGTCTAACCACAGACCGGTTTATCTCAAGGAATTTATCTTACAGATAAATGAACAAAAGTGTGTTTGATGTTTTCTAGAAAAACTATATATCACAACTGTGATAATACACAATATGAAGCTTAGATGAAACTAGATTGCTAGAGCTATAGAGTAAGCGAGGTTGAAAGCTTTAGCAAAAGTGAGAGCGTGCTTGAGGATGATTAGCTTTTTGCGCGTATATGCGTGAAGAGTATTAGCCATTTCTTTTCTCACTGATTTGTTTAAGTAGCCTAGGAATAGATACGTTGCTGTCCATAAATCCATTTCAATGCTCATAACGTTCTTTCCTTTTTGAGAAGATCTTTGTCTTGGAATAAAGTCATTGGTAATTAATTTGTCTTGAATGCATAGTAACGTTGACACTTCAGAGTGTTCTGCTAATGATAATCAGAGTGTTCTTGGCTTTAGCTTATTCTGACGCTTCTGAGTGCTGATGACATGGTTAGGATCTTGATCAGAGTCAGAGTATGTTATGCGCAGATTCTGTTCATCAGACTTCAGCGTATAGCACATGTTATTTGATCTTCTGATGCTGACATATCTTCTGATGCTGATGTTGATACTGATATTCTGATGCTGATTCCATCAGAGTTTCTGTAAATACACAACATAATTTTAAGTAGCATATATGTCTCATATAAATCTCATAATTCATTTAATCTTGTATTTTGTTATCATCAAAACTCTAACTGAGGGTTGTAGAATCAAACTATGTTCTAACAATCTCCCCCTTTTTGATGATGACAAAAACCAGATTTTTTCAATTAAAATAAAATGATGAAAGGTATCAGAGTTTAAGGATAGAGAGGAAACGGTATCAGAGATAATCAAATAACGAATAAAAGGTATCAGAGATAAGAAAATAAGGAATAAAAAGTATCAGAGTAATGAAGAGAAAAACTCCCCCTGAGTTGATTACTTCCCTTTAATTCCATGAGACCTTGAGCATCAGAACTTTATTGATCTTTCTTTGAGCATCAGAACTTTATTGAACTTTCTTTGAGCATCAGAACTTTATTTTATCAGAGTCTTGTACCTGTAAGCTTTTCAGAAGAAGGAAATTCAAATATATCAGAATGTTAGAATGTTTGAGACTTATGTCTCAGTAATCCGTTATTGAAAAATATCATTCTTTCTCCCCCTTTTTGTCAGTTATCAAAAAGCACAAATAATCAGAGTTAAAATGATCAGAGCAAAAAGAGCGTTTATATAAAAACATAAGCAATGATTAAGTTCAGAACACGAGAAATTATTACAGACAAACATGTAAAGAAAACAGGGAAAACACAATAAAATTTCTAAGAAGAAGGTGGAAGACGTGTGAACAGAGCTTCCAACATGCTCTTGATTTGATTGATGGTTTCCTGTTGCTTAGATACCATGTTTGCTATAGAATCAATCTTGATGTCCTGCTTATCCATCCTTTCATTCATCAGCATATCAGATCTTTTCAAATCCTCCAGAGTCTTCCTGTCAAGAGAGGAAGCTTGAGGATCTTCAGAAACATGGTGCTTCTCAGAGCTTTCTGCAATAACTTCTTCTTAACCCAAGTCTTCAGCTAGAATCGTCTGTTCTTCTGTAGGTTGAACTTTGGATGCTGGACGCTTTTCAGACCAAGGCGCAATGTCCAGATGGAGAACTTCTTCCTTAAGCAGCTTGCTCAGAACTGGACCTTCCATTTCCTTCAGCAGATTGTTGAAGTTCTATTGAGCCTGTCCATAGCTCTGGTCTTGTAACTTAAAGGTTTCAGCGTATACCCATCTTCTGAATTGTGTCCAGAGGAGGTCTGATACAGCAGGATCAACCAGTTCCAGACTTACTTGTTTCAAAGAAGTGATCCACTTTTGTATATCTGTTTCAAAGTTCAATATGCTGGAACCAACATTTGGTTGTTTTGGTTTAGGGATGGCAATTTTGTTGTTTATTGCAGCAAGGAGTTCAAAGACTGTTAGATCAATGACAGTCTTGTTGTGGTCATCTGAATTTTTCTTAGGTGAGGGAGTGGGAGAATCAGAAATTACGATTTGACTTGATGAGGTATTTGGTGGAGTTATTTCTGGTGAGGAGGGAAGTTGAGGAATATTCACAGTGGTACCACAGGGCAATTGAATGGCCAAAGGTTGTGGTTCAGGGGATTCATAGTGTTGAGCCTCAGAGGTTTGAGTCTCAGGTTGTGGAGATTGTTCATGTTGAGGAGAGGGTGGATTAGTATCTGGTTGAGGAGATGAAGGTTGTGGGATTTCTGGTTCTGGAGAGAGTGGAATTTCTGGTATTGGTGAGAGGGGAATATCAGGTTGTGGTGAGATGGGAATTTCTGTGTTTGGATTTGGATTTTCTGGTTGGGGAACGGAAGTGTGTTG